GACATGCATATACCGAGAGATAAACACACAAGCAGATGGCAGATGCTTGGGTGGCTAAGTAGAGTGCTAGACAGACGGACAGATGGGTGGATAAACGAAATAGAGAGAAGAATCATTGGCATATGTCCATAGGAAGCCCGGACATACATGTACGAGTATACAGTAAGACCTGAAACTCTCGACTTAGTGATCCTCCTCCAAGTTATGACTCGTGTAACCAAGTGAACATACAGACGTGGCAACTGGGAAGGGAACAGTCTCTCTAAGTCGCGTTTCTCTTGAACATGATAATACTAATTTAATATAAACACCATGCAGCATCCCCTGAATTGGCCCGCTGTTGTTCACTGATATAAACGGATCGTTTGTGTAAACATAATATTCGGGATAAATTGTGCATTTTGCTTCATGACCTTGCTCAATTAGGTGTCATGATGGAGACCTGTGTGCTAAGTTCTGACCTGTAGCCGTAGCAGTATTTTGGTTGGCTCGTGTAGCTACTGACTTGGCGATCGGGGTTCAGTCCCTTACATGATTGTTGGAAATTTATCACTCTCCAGAACGCCTTGTTGCTGCTGCTGATGACGCCGCCGCTGTTATCGTCATTGTTGTCATTATTATTATTATGTTATGTATGAAGTATGTGTTTTCACCGTAAAACATCGGGTTTGTTCATATAAATGACGTATGCAAAGCTATACTATACTTAAATGGTTCTGAAGATACTGAGAATTACTGGATTTTCGGACTTCGGCCATCGTCCGGTGTTCTAGAAACTAGAAAACACAAAGTATCGGGAACTGTATGTGCTTCCGTCCTCAAGTAAGGGGGGGGGGAGATACCCACTCTGTTCAGTCCCTTAGATAGAGCTTTGAGGTTAGATATTTCTGACGGACCCAACAGAGTAGCTGTCTCCCCTTCACCTGAGGACAGAAACATCCATTTTCCGGAAACGTTGTGTTTTCTAGTTTCGAGAATACCGGAAGATGGACGAAGTCCGAAACCCCAATAATTCTGAGTACTCTGCACTTACGTAGTAGTAAAGTAAATCATTTCTCTGCACCGTACACTGTTTTGGGAGAACTGACGTCAAATATGGAAACTCGTAGCTGACTGAAAATGCTATGAAATTATTATTGCGGGCTCAGTTTCCCTGTATTGGGCACGTTTTGAAGGGGTTTCCGATACAGCAGGAGTGCTACTGTGAATTGGTAGATACGAATTCTGATTCTGTGTTCAGGAGCCAACATTAAGCAGATGTGCCTGTACAGTAGTAAAACTGATAACATCACTCTTGTTCATATCTCTCAAACTGACATCTTTCAGTTGCATGCAGTTTCCATGGCAGACACTTAGCACAGAGCGCCGTGAATAGGAGAACATCAGTTTAACTCTACTGCATAACCTCTGTTTAGTTCCTAATTCCCTGGAGCAGGAGCCCCTCTTGAGAACCTAGTCTATATTTCCTGTTTTGTGGGAGGTTCATTACTGTGTCCGCAGGACTCAGCCACAAGATCCTATCCCGGCACAGATAATATCTAATTCACATCCTCGTATCCCATTTCTTGAAGATCTTCAGTCTAGGCTTACATCTCTCAAGAGGCCTCGTCTTTTCACATATTGTCTGGGATTTTCTATTCATCTCATATGCCCGCGTGCTAAATATCCTGTCCCTCTTGTATGCTTTGATTTCATCATCTTAATAATAGGATATTTTGCTGGCGAAGAGTGGACGTTATGAGGCTTCACATTATGTAAGTTTCCCACCCTCCTGTTACTTCCCCTTTCTAAGATCCAGATATTTACCTCGACACCGTAGGTATACGTGTATGTTCCTCTTAATTTGAGGAACTACGTTTCCTCCCCCTCCCCATTTACAGAACAACTTTTAATCGTTACATTTTTGGATAGGAAGGTTTAGGGCTGAACTCGATGGTACCAGGCACTCCCCGAATTTAATATGCTCTCAGTTCAGACTGGAAATTTGCAAGTGTTATTGCTGAGTTGTTTTCTCTCACTGTCAGTCTAAAACCTGGCATTCCCTTCCCATATGCGGACTGCTCCTCCTTTCCCCTGCCGGTGCTGAACCATACAGCATTGTCTTACCATCAGTTTAGATTCGTTTTGGGGCGCTTTCCAAAAACCGGAAGTTTTTGTAGCGTCGGCTATTATTGGAAGCCTTTTACCCGCGTAACATGTCTGAAGTTCAGGATAGCACGCTGGCAGTAGCATTGCCATGGCAACTGGACTCCAAAGACATGGCAGGCGTTGCCATGGGAACTGCCTGCCGATGAGTGATGGCTGTAGCATGGGGGAAATTCCGTAACTGGGGGAGCATTTATGCTGGCGTACTAGTTTTCAGTGTTTCATATAGATGCTACTTTGGACTGATCAAATAACTAATTTCATGGAGCGGAGTGCTACTTGAGGAGGTAATAACTCGATCAGCTGGTCAAGAAATTATGGAACTCGAAATTTCCTACCGCGATTTCGAGAGCTCGCCATCGAGCCTATCTAGAACCCCTTAACGCAGTCCACACCTCATTTATTTAAAATAAATTTTAATTGTATCCTCCTGTTGACCCCTTTGTCTCTAAAATTCTTCCACATTCGTATATTCTGACTGAAATTTTGTGTGCATTTCTTATTTCTTATACCCCACCTATCTAATCGTTTATTTGACGACTCTAATAATAATTGTGCGAGTCGGTATAGCGCCGGCTACGTACTGGACTGCCCGGTTACGATTCTCGGCAGTGCAAGATTTTTCTCCACAGTTTCCAGACCGACTCTGGGGCCCACCGAGCACCCTGTCCAGTGGGTACGAGGAGTTCTTTTTCCGGCGGTAAAGAGGCAGGGGCGTGAAGCTGACCACTCACCTCTATCTTATGGCGAGGTCAAGAAAGGTGGAGCTATACTTCCACCTTCCATGTGTCTTCGTGGCATAGTGATTAACTAATTAAGCACAGGGACACCTTTACCCTTTTTAATATTAATGGTGAATCGTACAAATTAAAATTCTCCTCCTTAAACCCATGCAACTTTCTCTTTTCCTCATTACTTCTAGTCTCTTAATTCCAAACATTCTGAGACATCGTCACTCTATGTAGTTCAGGTTGGAGAATCAAAATTTCACACCCATGTAAAATAGGAGGTTTAATTTTAGATAGGCGACGGAAAGGTAAAGGATTATGAGCTGAATAGCAGCGGACGTTGTGCGAATATAATGTACCCTCAAGTTGCGATGTGTCGTTGGATTATGTCGTTGCAACTCGGACTCCAGTGTCTCTTACATGAGAAGGGTGTGCACGGTATAAAGACAGGAAAGACTTGGGACCCACGGACTGAATTTGTTTGATGATTGTACCACTCAACGGATATGCAATGTGACGTGATAGTAAAAATAATTCAACATTAAATAATAATTTTAATTATATTAACGTTAATTTGCCTTCTGGTGGACCGCCTCTGTGGTCTAGTGGTCATAGTTCCTGCCTACAGAGCCAGACGTTCTGGGTTCGATTCCCAGCGCTACCAGATGTTCTGAGAAGTAGCGGATCTAGAACGGGATCCACTCAGCCTCTTGAGGATAACTGAGCTATTTCAAGGAAATAGCGGCTCCGGTCTAGAAAACCAAGATCAGTGGCCGTAGGGATCCGTTGCGCTGACCACGTGACACCCTGTATCCGCAAAAGTTGGCACTAACTCCGCCGACAAGCGGCGGTCGCTCGGTGAGTATAGTTCCCTTGCGGATTACATGCCACGAAGTCTGTTGTTTTGCCTTCTGATGAGAAATACTAGCTATAGATCGTAACCTTAACAGCTGATCTGCACTGAGGTTGTTATGCAGCATATCGGTGTCTCCCTCCCGACATCTCGCCCTGAATTCCCTGCTGTCCACAGCCAGCGAACAAGTTGGTCGGCAGCTAATGCTCTAGAATTATGTTCGGGAAGTGCTCGACCGAAGCACCGGCTATCCTGACTGAGATTATTCGTGATTTTCCTCAGTCCCTTCAGGAAGTTGCCTGGATGCTTCATCAGTTAGGTCACGACCGCTTGTTTGCAAGTAATTTCCAGCTCACTACTCATATACCATCCGATTCTCTACACTCTCGATACTGAAAACGTCATTAAATAAGCACAGATACGCACGTGCTAGCCTTAGTCACCTGTCTTCATCCATTCTGTCTACATAGTATACCCTCGTATGCAGAATGTTAATGTCCTGAATTGTATTATCGCCCGTAAATATATCTCGTATGTCAGTATGTGAGTCGCAATCCTGTATGAATTAAGGGCGAAGGCGCACCAAGGAAACTGGCAACGCAGTTTTCTCAATTTTCGCTTCTCCATTCATTAACATGCGTTCAACTCAAGCTGATAAGAATTCTCTGAAATTGCGGTTGCGTTGCGGTTTGACAGTTTTCTTGGTGTGCCCTGGCCCTAACGGTGTGAAAGCTCTCGCTTTTCTCTTCATGTTTGTCCCTGTCATTCTATATCATGTCTCGGCATCTTTTACGAAGTTTTTGACAGGCTGTCTGTTTAAACAAAAATGTAGAGCCTAGTATGGACGTTATTCTACCAGAATGTCCGTAAACTGTTTCACGTATTTGTAACTTAAAAATACTTGAGTAAATAGAGTTAATTCGGAATTACTGCTTCTGGATGGAACACTTCCGGTTTGTAGGCTTATATGCTTACAGGCGTCTGAGAGTTTCTTTAAACGCGACTTAAGGAAACAATATTTTATATTCAATACCCTGGAGTAAAGGGCCATCTTGAGGCTGTTATCAGTGAGTCTGGCCGCATTGACTAACAAAGAAAAGATAGCGTCTCTACTGAAGCACGTATGCCCATACACGTATTTTCTGCGGAACAGAATGTTGAATGTCGCGTGCAGTATATTCTGAGCAATGCACACCCCATCATCGTCCACTTAACTTCATAGCAGCTGAATGAAAGAGGATAAAACAAATTGATTTTATGTTGTATTATTGCAGCTCCGAGGTCCGGGGGCAGCGCAGGCACGAACAACTTGCCGCCAATCCTGTTCCACCAGGTGCATGGGGACAACATCCGCGTCTCGTGGGACGGGACAGTGGCCAGGCGGGCAGAGAGCTTCTGCAAGGGCGTCACGTTCAGTAGCAGACCCATCAAGGTGGCAGAGAAGGTCAGCATCACTTTCATCTAGGCGTGTCCATAAGAGACGCAGTTTCGCATTCCAAACATTTTATTCAGTGAATCTCCCTATATCTCCTGTCGTTTGTGCGAGACTACCAACGTAGATGGAATGAACCGGGACACTCCATTCGCCTGCTGAGCCGTGCCTATGCCCGCCCCCTCCTGTCAGTGCCAGGGGAGGTATAGGTATAGACTGCAGTTTCGGAAAGTCACGGTGCTGCAGATTTCTCGCTTCATTAACTTCTACTAACTCTGTAGTTCAGAGCCCTTTTTGAGAAGCTGATAGTCCGCAACTGGTCGGTACCTCTGGCAAGGTAAAGGTAAAGTTGTCGCTGTACTTAACTAATTAAGCACCACGACAGGAAGGCGTATGGGGGGGGGTGTACGCATATGTATGCATCCAAGTTTTCTTGACCTCGGCATTAGTTGGAGGTGAATGGTCAGCTTTACGCCCCGGTAACCTTACCCCAAGGGAGAAAACCCACGGTACCAATTGCATAGGATGCTGCGTGAGCCCCAGAGCAGGTCTGGACGACGTGGAGAAGAGAAAATTATTGACCCTACCGGGAGTCGAACTCCGACCCCCCCTCCCCCGGCCGCCGTCTAGCCCGTAGCCAATCGCTATACCGACTACACTATCCCGGCTCCCAGTCGGTACTTCTGACTTAATTTAAATTAATTTTTCATCATTACAGAAATGTCTCTCCATTTCCGCAGTTCATTTTTTTTTTATTTTGTTGAAAGGGAAACAAGCTATATATACTGGATTATCTGTTAAGTTTTAACGGCGCTGTCAGTATCATGACTACATAGCATTGAAGATAGGATGTTTAATGAATATGGAGCAGCTGGTGGAATGAAAATGAACAAGGGAAACCGAAGTTCTCGGAGAAAACCTTCCTTAGTGCCGCTTTTTCCTCCGTAAATTCTACATGACTTTAGCTATGGTACGGCCTGGGAATGTCTGTTCTTTCCATGAATACCGGAGGTCCGATTCCTGGTTGAACCATTGATGTAGAGCCTATTTATCTATTTACGTCTAGAAATACAGTCTCATATCCAGTGGATTCCTTAGGACGTTTCGCAAAGGGTAACTCCTCGCCGTCTGTTGCCTACTTTAAAACTGAACGGAGCTTTAGTTCCATGTGTCAGTCTAAGCATGGGGATAGCTCGGATTGTGTCTGTACATACAACAACGAACTCTTTGAGACAGTTGTAAAGTTTACTACATTTGTCTTGAGGAGGTGCTTGCTTCGAGTCTCTACCCGGTTACCGAGTATCCTAAGAGTGCTCCGACAGAGGAGGATGGGTGTGACTCGCGTAGTGAGATGCGACGTAGGGATGAAAAGTCTTGAACAATTTTAATATTTTTAACATTTAACATTTATCAACATATATGATAAATATGTATTTTAGTTATTTTAATATGAAGACGACAAGGTATGCAATGAACTAGTTTAGCGTAAATCGAATAAGCACCTGAAGATGGCACTTTTGTGCCGAAACATGTAGTGCGAGAGAGAGGAGATAGATGAGTGTATGCACTGGAAGACGGTTGAAATAAATCATGGACTATCCTAAGATCTGTTTTACTGTCTCTGTCTAGGCGAATGTAGAGGAACTACCTTGAAGTAGGACACTGCTACTTCCATCTTAAATTATAGCCTTTTATTAACCTTCATAATTGTATTTTCATCTCATTGGACGTTACATAACCGCTGCAGTTCAAAGAGCGTCGTTAAATAACGGCAGACTGAATTAGCACTGACTGGTGAAGCTCTTCAAGATGAAATAGCAATTTCTGCTTCACAGTGGCGTGTCATTCGGACGATCTAGAAAATGAAGTAGGTTATACGAAACCTGAAGTATTACCTGTTGTTTTGTATTGATGTCAAACTTGGCCTTTCAGTTCAAGGGAAGGACACAGATTATGGATCAGATTTGAGGTTTCCACGGCCGTGAAAATTGACATTGTGGTCTTTTGGGTTGTCATGCCATGTTGTCTTATAGATGGGCGCCATTGTTTCGGAGGAACATAAACCTACGTGGACTCAGTAAGTATGTGGTGGAGTTGATTCGTCTGTCTTGAGATAGGGGCTGGTGGTTTATTCTGGTGAACATGGTAATAAAGATTTGGGTGGGATTTATTGATGAGCTGAGCGACCGTCAGCTTCTCAAGGTGGACTGTGCTTCATGTAGTTGGCCGCTTACGTTGCCTCCCTCACCTTCGTGTTTCGCAACAGCGGTTATGGCTGGATCCGCTTACCCGATTCCGGCTTTCCTTCTGTTTCTTTGTTTGCAAGAAAATGACATCATGTTTGTCCTTGGGTACTATGCGTTTAATGCAGTCGAATTCTGACATCGGACTTACTTTATGAACCCTGCCGACCTTGTCTGACTCTGGTTGAACTTTGCTGTTCTGCCTCCATCGACCATGAATGGCTGTTTGGAGTCTGACGTACGGAAAGACAGTAAAGTTGATTCTCATTAAAACGCATGACGTAGGCCCTAGTTACGTGCGCGGCCGACTTAATGAATATTCTGATGTGGGAACTGTAATGACTGGATGTAGGATTTATGAATAAATACTCAGGTGAGCAGACCTTGGCTCTAAATGTGCATACGTCCACTGAGAGCCTGTAGAGGCCTAGGCTTTATCCAGTACAGCGTTTTATTTCTAGCAGTTCAGTTGTGGCAACATTTACATTTCCATGTAAGGTTTGAGGCTTTCACGGCGGTGACTATGAAGAAAGCGGTTTTCTGGGATTTGGCACCGTGTATATGTGGTGTTAACCGACGTTTCGGAGGAACGTATCGCCCCCATCTTCAGGGTAGAAGAAAAATATAAGAAATCAGCAAGCGAAGAGACCGTGAGAACCGGTAAAAGCAGACTGGTCGCACCGGTTCTCACGGTCTCTTCGCTTGCAGATTTCTTATATTTTTTCTTCTACCCTGAAGATGGAGGCGATACGTTCCTCCGAAACGTCGGTTAACACCACATATACACGGTGCCAAATCCCAGAAGACTGCTTTCTTCATTTACACATCGAGTTTGTTTTCTGTATTTCTATTTTCGTCTTACTTTTTTTCTTTATTTTCCTCCTTTCATTGTACCCTTCGGATCTTTTTGTTAAAAAGTTGTATATAAATATTTTTCCCAGTTCCTTGTAAAGACTAAGCGATATTTTTCTCCTTTTTTGTCCTTTTTATTTTCCCTGCTTCCGGCGGAATATGCTGGGGAGGCTAGGTCACGCAGTTCGTAGAGATATCATAAAGGCATTCCTCTGCATTCATACCTAAAACAAGACTACTGGTCTAGTTTCCTTTTTGCGAAACATAATGTTACCCCGAGCAACACGTGTTTTGTTTCGTATACAAGAGGGTACTAGCCGCTTCTGATGAGAAAATTGAAAGAAATAACGAGAGAATGTCTTCAAATTGGATTCGCGACCTCCGGAGCCCTAACCTGTTGTCTGACCGCTGCGAACAACTGCTCGGTGCTGGCCAGTGCCGCACTCCTCTTCTCACTTGTTTCCGGTTCTCACGCTTAATGCTTGAAGTGAAGTAAACCGTTTAGATTTTGTTTTTTCATTTTAAGAGATTAGTGGCTAGCAGCATCACTAATGTCTTTATTGAGATTTAACGATGCTGTGCCAACTGCAGTGATCACTACTTTATTCCAAGCAGATGAAGGGATCAGTATGCATAATAAACAGTAAGTTATGGGAAGAACTAATCGCGTGCTTTCTGTTAGACGGCACGGACTGCACAGAAACAAGATGCGTCCAACAGTTCTTTTATTGTTGATTTTTATTCTTTGCCGCGGGAACGTGTTTACTGAGCCGTTGTGTAGCAACGATAGGAGAGGATACACAGACTGATGGGAGGGATTTTTAAATACCCCGTTCAGATGGGCTTTCAAGATTTCATGGGGGGAATTCACAGACAGACAGCATTGTGATCTCATAAGCCACTTTTATTTTTTTTTTTCAAAATATGGAAAATAAGGTAAAAATTCTCCCTGACGGGAAATTGAACCCCAGTCTGCCGCTCGACAGGCTGGGATGCCAATTGTAAGATAATTGTGAACCCTGAACTAGGTTTAGGGTATGTAGCGTCGATTAAATGAAGGTGAGTATTGGGTGACGTCAGGAGTAGTATTTGTGCATACAAGTACGTGTATGTCTGTACCTGATACTTGTGTACTAGAATACAGTTCCCAATACTTCACTCCGAAACGCTTCGCGAAATGAACTTACATGAGAGGAAGTAACAGGGACTGTAGGAAATTGCATAATGAGAGAGGAGCTTCATGATCTGCACTATTGGCACAGTTCTGTTAGGATAATTAAACGAAGAAAGAAGAAAAATGCGGATTGTGTGGCATGAATGGGGAGATAAGAAATTTCTACAAACTTTTAGTCGGAAAGTCTGCAGGCAAGACACCATTTTGAAGATGTAAGCATAGATGAGAATAATATTACATGGATCTTAGAGAAATGTGGTGTGATGTGGATTCATGCGCTCCGGAAGGGTGGGTGCAAGCCAGGAATCTTCTGTCCCACTCCCCACGACGTTTTTAAAAAATCAAAATTTAAAAAAGGAAAGGTAAAAAGGTAAAGTTGCCCCTATGCTTAACTAATTAAACACTACGCCATGAAAGCGTATGGGGGAGTGGATGTATAGATCCACATTTTCTTGACCATGGCACTAGCTGGGGGAAGTGGTAGGCTTCACGCCCCTCCCGCTTTAACCCCGGGGTAAAAGGCCCCGGTACCGATTGAATAGGAGACTGGATGAGCCCCAGAACCGGTCTGGACGATATGGAGAAGAGAATATTCTGACCCTACCGGGACTCGAACTCCGACCCGTCGGTCGTCTAGCTCGTAGAAAGTCGCTATACCGACTACGCTACTCCGGTTCAAAACAGGAAAGAAATATATAAAATATTATGTGCCGGCCGTTGTGTTTCAGTGCAGAGAGCCACAA